TTTTATTTATAAACCAAATTTAAAAATCGTCAAACTTAATAACATTAAACTTTTTGTCAACGTAAGTGTTCGATATGTCCACCATTTTCTTTAATTTATTTGCCAATACATTCCATAAAAGATCGTCTCGTAATAAATAGCCTCATTGGTTCTAAAGAAAGTATTATAAGTATAATATATAATAAATATAATAAAATAATAAAGTTTCAGTTTGGGAGTTTTAGGAATTAAATAATTATATTAATATCTCACCACATGACCAAGGAATATGACTACCACGAATAATCCAACGTTCAGGAAAGTTGTATTTAATTATGCTCTCACTGCCCCCTCTCTATAATGTGGTGGTGTACCATCTTACATAAACCACATATTTCGCCTTAAGTTTGATGATAATTCTTCTAATAAATCAATAAAATCATTTTATAAAAATATAAATAAATCTCACCATTCAAATTACAAGGTAATTCGCAAGTCTGTAAAAAATAATTACAAATGGTACCAAACCATACGATATGCATTTTAAACATGAATTTTAAATAAACGTATGGTTTTGAACTATTGGTAATTATTTTTGACCGGTATGCGAATTACCATGTAATTTGAAATATGAGATTTATTTATATTTTTTATCAAATGATTCTATTGATGTATTGGAGAAATTGTCATCAACCTTAAGGAAAAATGTGTGGTTTATGCAAGATGGTACACCACCACATTATAGAGAGAAGGCAGAAGGAACATACTTAAATACAACTTTTCTGAACATTAAATTGTTCGTGGTAGTCATATTCCTTGATCATGTCGTAAAATATTATTAAAATTACTTAATGCATAAAAATCCCAAAATAATACTTATTATTATACTTATGGTACTATATACTTATAATAATAAATACTGCAACAATTTCTTTAGAACCAATGATGCTATTTAATATGAGACGTTCGTGTATGGAATGCAGTGACAAATGAATTAAAGAACTTACTTTGACATAACTATTACCAATTATTCTTATTTTGTCAAATTCTACTATTAACTATCCTGCTAATATATTTATTTTATTTAATATTTCCTTAACTATTAACTTTATTAAATGCATTTTATACCAAAATTCAAAAGTATTGATGTTTTTGTCTAATTTTCTTTCGTTGCCTGGAGTAATTGCGTTAAATTTGAATTATGTAGTAGAGCTGTAAAATGCGGGTATTTCGAAAACTGTTTGGTTTTAAAGTTATCAACAAGTATGCCTTTTTTGATAAAATAATACATTTTTAACATTTTTTATACAAACACCGGTAACTGAACGAGTAAAAAAGTTAAGTGCAAATGTATGCCACATGTGTGGTATATGTGGCGCCCTCTATCAGCTACATATAAACGTGTAAACAATAAATGTTTACAAACATAAAAGTTAGAGCGAAATTTAAAATTTAAAATTTTTAATTTAACACCCTCTATCTTTCTTAATATCATCATTTTATTAAAGCAATTTAGCTTAAATTGTAATATTTTAAAGTGTAGAATCAACGGTTTCTTTTTGTACAATTACTTAATGACCACCCTGTATAAAGAGCATCGTGTGCTTTAAATCATTAAAAACTAGCTAGGTATAGGTTATCTCATAGATTGACATACCACTACTTGTTATTAATAACGCATGTGATATTTACCAGTAATACTACGTAGTCGAGATTATGTTCGTACTTAAATAAAAGATTACATTCAAATTTTATTGTATTGTGACACATAGAACTGCTCACCATATTTTTCCAGGTAGAAAAGTTTAATTTAAAGCGTTTTTCATAAAAAGGGGATGTATCAAAGTCTTGTATGTTGATGTCGTTACTTTGAAGCAACCCGAAAAGTTCAAAGAAAAACAAAACGAGTAGCAACGAAAAGTTTGCTGTGATTATCAGTTGAGTACCTGAGTGGGTTAGTTGAAAAGGCGTCACGTCCTTTTGAAAGTGTTTAAATGTCAGAGGAAACGGATTTCTTTCAGAAAAGTTGGTTCGTTTCTATCGGGGATAATTTAAGGGTTGGCAGCTGCGACCGATGTAAATTTAGAATACTATAATTCCAGTGTTTTATTTAATGATATCTTGACTTGACTTTTGTTATCAGATTTATTTTTATTTGCAACAGAAATTTATAAAAAGTAATAGAAATAACAAATATACGTAACGAATTTATCTATATAGTACAATTAAAGTAAAAAAACTATTTTACAAAATTGCTGTTACTAATACACATAATAATATATCCAAAAGTTTCGAATATTGGAATATTAATGTTTTTATTGATTTTTATATATTAATAAACTCTTCTGAATTGTTCAACATCATATTGTTTCAATTCTCAACAATACTAAATAAATCTCAAAACCAGATAAACGATATGCAAGAAAATTTGAGTAGTGAATTTAAAACTTAGTATTGAAAAAAAAAACAGACAAATAAACAAGTGGCAGTAGAAGGAAGAATAGAAATATTAGAACTAGAAATATTAGATAGAATAGAACAACTATAAGAAACAGTTAAGGGAATGAAATTAAGAAAATCTCCAGGCCCAGGCGGAATACATCCAGAGTTGATTAGGTATGTATCATCAAAACTGTTTGAAATGATCCGTAAATTATTCGAAAGATGCTTAAACGGAGAAGAAGTTCCACAAGAATGGAGACAATCGTATATCTCTGTAATACACAAGAAAGGCACAAAGACGGATCCTAAAACTATAGAGGGATCGCAGTGATTGCTACTATAGGCCAACTATACTTATAAGTATTACGAAACCGGATAGAAAATGATAATAAAGACAAACAACGCGAAGAACAAGCGGGATTTAGCCGGTCGCTTCACTATGGATAATATTTTCACATTAAAAATTGCAATGGAAAAACGAGTGAAGAGAAATAGAGAAACCCATATAGCTTTAATAGATTTGGAAAAAGCATATTATAGTGTACCGATCTTCCAACTATGGATAAAAATGGGTAACTTAAAAATAAAGCAAATTCCTATTAACGCCACTCAAAAATACTACGAACAAAACTTTGCAAGAATTAAAATGGGACAAGAAATCACCTCTTCTTTTCAAACAACAAAGGACCTTAGACAAGGCTGCTGTCTGTCACCCACCTTATTTAAAATCTATTTGGACAGATCCTTAGTGAAATTGGTAAAAAATGTAGAAACATGGGACTAACGGTGGAAGAAAATACGCTATATGAGGCCCCTAGAACACAAGGGGTGTAAGTGTCAATAACAAAGTTTTGTAAGTGTAAATAGTTTATTTAGAAAGTTTGAAGCCAAAAGCACCTGCCTGTTGTTAGTTATCAGTTGCTAAATAATAAGCAACTCCACTTACACCCCTTGTCCTCCGAGTTGTTTTAGGTTATTAAAAAAAGGAACACAATAGGTTTTTAAAAAATACTCTTTATTAAACAGCTCAGATAAAAAGCATTAATAGGCTATACCTATATTGAAAAATATTTTCAGTGTTCTAGTCCGTATGATTTACTCAATATCTGTATCATAGACACGGTCAAGATCTTCATACTGAATGCTAGTTGTAGCTACACAGTCACTACCATGAGGAAGTTCCATAAAAAGCTGTGATGAATTGGAGACACAAAAGGAAATAGCTTTAGTAAGTCCTTAAATTTCAACTCTTTTAGTTTTGAGGGTTTAAGTCATTTGGGCCAACTGAGGAAAGTCTACAGTAGTTGGTCGTCCTTTCTTCTGAGGTCGCATGTCAATTAATTGTTTTAAAATCTTCTAAGCCTCTGTTGAATGTTGCCTTATAATACAGAGTAAAGGGCTCTTCTTTCCTGAAATGCATCCATTGTATTTTACGTATTCCAGTGACGGATTGTTTAAAAAAAAGGATTTAACGAATCTAGAGATTTAAAATCCATGCTGTTTATTCTGATCGCTAAAAACTTCCGGCTTGCTTTAGCAATCATATCACACCACTGACTTGGCACATAGATATCTCTGGAATTTCACTTTTTGGCTTTTTATATCAGACCAAAGTCCTGATCGTACTCCATATACGAATGACCAACACTGAGATACTTGTGATTAACAGTGCTAACTGTTGCCTTTCAACATAGAGCCACAACTTCACAATTAAGTGGCTCTTATTTTGACCGCTGCAGTTGTCACTATAAACAGTGACTTGTTAAACAGTTGGTGGCATACTTTCTACATACTTTAAAATGCGAGAGGCGATGGCCCCACAACCTCTAGAGGCCTGCCCTTCATGCCACATAAACATTATTGCTTCGCCGGTGACAAGGTTGTGGATACAAAAATTGTAGGTCCAAAGTCGTCTGCAGTAGTATGCATTTGTGCATGACAGAGAAGGAGTAGGAAAGGTTTTTTGTAAATCAAAGCAAATTAATACTTGTGATGGGTCATTTTTTGCCTCCTCCATATTTTTTGATTTTTCAGAGCGAGCAGCCTCTGCTTTACTAAGATGTAACTCTTTCTGAGTTTTTGCATTTGCAGACTCATCAGGAAACTAGTTGAATACATGTCTATAGTAGCTGTCCTTTACATGGACCTCATTTCTTTCAACGCAAAATTCCTTGTATAGATCATACAGCTTCATAAAATTCAGATTAGAATCCAAATACTTGACGTTTGAAACCTTTTCTCGTGTGTAATGACTGCTGTATTTTGGTATAGATTTGATATGTACTTTTATCTAGTTTGTAGTTTGTTCGGGGATTTTGTTAGCAAGGGTTTTTTTACCCGTTTGTCCCTAGGAGAAATGGCATACTAGAATGTTGCTTACCTTTTACTACATTATCAACTTTCTTTACACGTATGTCAAGTGTGGCCATGAAAAATTGTTTACACATTCTATATCCTGCTAAATTGTAAATACATGAAACATTTTTGTCTTTCTTCTGCCCATCTATTCTCCTTTTAGGTTTTCCGAGGGTAATTGACGAATTTATGAAAGCGGTTTGTAGATCCCAGTCTCCAAGCTTTCAAAAATCTTGGAATATTGTATTGCGCTTATTTTCATTAATATTATTGTTGCAATCATACCTGCAAGTATGGTTGTACTCCTTTACCGTTTTATGACCATGCACATTTCCTTTTCGATCAACATAACTTTTCCCTTCATTCCTTGCTCTCTTTACTCTGTTTCTTGCCCACTCATCCGTATTTCTGAGTTTTTTCTTACCTGAATACTTCTTGTTTACCTTCCAGTGAACTGGTTTGGCCATGTTGCTAGGTTCCTGGCTAGTACCTTCTGAAGACTCACTAGTTGTGTCATCTTCTGATTCATAATCTGCATCTGCATCTGTATCTCCTGAAAACCCAAAAAATTTTATCCAAAGAGCCTATGGTATATAGATAGCTTAAGTAAAGCAAACAAAAAACTGAGAAGCTGGCGCTTCGAGGAGTACCCACAGAAGTGGAAACTTTTATAGCCACGATTTTAGAAATTTTTATTATATTATATTCTTTCTTAAACAAAATTGAAATAAGACTTTTTTGTATATATTTTGTATAACTAACATTTTACTCACTTGATAACATTTTAAAACTTAAATGTATTTTACGAAAAAACCTTTAAAAACATTTTAAAATACGTTTATGAACGACGAAAGGCGACAATATATTATTATTATTAGTTATGTTGTTGGAAGTGCATCATACGATATTTCTAGTTCTCTGGCATATTAATTTTAATGTTTGTTACTTCAGTTTTTTACATAAATTTTTTATATACATGTACAATTAATTACCACATGTTCTTTTGCTGTGCTAAGTTTGTTAATTTGTAAACTGTATCTAGTTTTAATTAATTGTTTATAAAACATGATCTCAGAATGTCCATTGACGTAGGCTTTTTTAAACATTTAAAATCATTCATTGCTACATATCTTTTTGAGGTAACACACTTGTAATAACTTTTCTATGGATGTTTGGTTTTTCATACTGTTCTTTTTAGATGAGCTGATGATGATATAGAAAAAAAATTTTAATAACATTAATAATTAGTATTTCCTCCATTGTAATAGGCTGATTTTTTCGCTTCTTGATGCGTGTTTTGAAAATTTTACCAAGCATGTTCAATAACGTTCATGTTGGGGGAATGCGAGGGCCGCTGTAATGTAGATATTCTTTCTTCTTTCAGAAAATTTTGTACTGCTGCTGTTGGTTGAAGAGGTACGTTGTCATGCACAAACAAAAATTTATCACCTACTGTCAGTTGGAATAGACGTACGATAGTATTTACAACTTTCTCGTATACACAGCACTGGAGACTCTTCTCTTCAGAACCAGCAGTGGCGTCCGTGTACCACTCATAATACCACCCCAAACCATAATACTGCCACCTTCAAATGGGGCACGCGGTTAGGTTGTTTCTAGTTGGGCTTGTCGTCCTGGGGCCCTTCAAACCAGTGTTACTCGCGAATCAGATACCAAGCCAAGTTTTGACTCATTAGAAAACATTACGTTATTCTAGTTACAACCATGATGCAATATTTCTCTAACAAAGTGCAATTTTACTATTTTGTGTTGATAGGTTAGTTTAGGAACAAGTAGCGGTCTTCTAAGATACAAATTTACCACATTTAGTCTATGTGTTACTGTTTTCTTTGATATATTCAGTCCTTTAAGCCTAGAAATTTCTTTGGATATATAAAATTTTTCATATAAAAATTATTGCACGTTATTCAAGATTTACGACGCCGAAACCCCACAGCGTTACCAAAACATTAGAGTAGTTAGTAAGTGAGGAATTTTTAAAATGTCAACTATTTATCAAACTAATATATAAACAGTAAATACACTTAGTTTTAATTAAGACTACTGCAATACATTAAGATACATAAGAAAACATTTAAATACATTATATATTCTAAATTTTAAACTTACGCCCATTAGAGCATTTATAGTAAAAACGTCCCGCCACTATATCTTGTTCAAAATAATCTATTTTATATGAAAGCTTATCAGTTTTCTACAGACTATTTAGTTGTTTTTGGCATAGCACAATCACAATACACAAAAATAATTAGTTTTTAAAGCTATTAGTCTAAATTAAGTATGTATTTATAAATGCAATTAATTAATATATAATATATTATGGTCAAATTTTGTAAGAAATCAAAACATAAACAAAATTCTTACTTTAAAATGCTGCAACACTTTAAACAATTTTGTCACAGGCTGAACTGCAATTAAAATTGGAATTATTCCCATATCAGTAGCGTACAATTGTCTAATATCTTTAATTAAAATTAATATTTTGTGGAATATTAGACTTCAAGAGTTATTTAATAAAATTTAATATTAATAATAATAACAAATGTTTTTGTTTATTTAATCAATATAATTCTAAAATTCTTAATATAATATTGATTACATTTTTCTGTTTATTATACCATGGTGAAGCCTATGAAAGCAGAGCAGTGCCGTATGGGTTTCGTATTATTAGCTCTGTTAGGAAAATTTGAACTCTAATGTTGACATTCTAGAAATTTTTAATATTAGTAACGTCACTTTATACAAATTGTAACCTGCAACGTTTTTACTTTGAAAAATGGTGTACCAACTGTAGATTTCAGACGATTTCTACGAGCTTCAATGTTATTTGCCGGTCTTGTGCTGCTGTTGTACATCGACTTCTACCACTTCTGGGACTACCCTTGAAGTGATTTGTACTTGTACTTTTATTTTATTTTCGATACAGGACTCTAACATCAACAATATTCGCGATTTAACTTTGACTAAAGCCCTGTTATAACAAAGTAATTACTCTAGATCTGTCAATATTAGATATTACGTTTCTGGGCATTTTTAAACGGCTTAATTCAAATTTAATCAAAGACTGAAATAATGTATAAATACGCTAATCAGTTGAATGTGACCAAAATCGTACAAAACGATTCAAATTTTTTAAAATCTTTATTTAAAAACGCTCTAGAATGAATATCAACAATAGTTTTAAAACCAACATAGGCGTAGATATATTATTTGTATATATTCCAAACTTTTGCACATATGGGTATATTAAAAACTTAAACAAATATTTGAATGTTAATTTAGTTGTCAAGCTTTAATAAAAAATTCACGGTAAAAATTGTTATTGTCCATTTACCTATGCCTTTATTAAGTACCTCCTCAGATATAGGGCGGATAGGGGAATGTCTCCTAGATATGGGTGATAATAGGGAAATGAAATACCTGGAGTGGACCATAACTATGAAATTGTCGCAACTAATCTATAGTGGAGTGGACACGTGCAAACAGCGTCTCCCCCAAAATTGGCGGCTAAAAGCAAACTCAGTATTTCTTCAAATAAGTTTTAAACTTAGTAGTCTTATTTTTTTATATATTATGTTTAGAGACTACAATAACTGTATTCCTTTGATTTCAATTCAGGTAAATATAATGTCATATTGTTTATTCTTAATCTAGAGCCAGAAACTTCCCAAACGCACATTGAATCCGATATACTTAATACTAAGTAATTTTGTTAGACATTATATCAGTCTGAACTTACACAATAACCTTCTGGAAATTTGGTTATTGTTAAGACTATGAAATATTAGCAGCGGCGCGGCTGATCCTTAACTGCTAGAGACACGGCTGTATATCATCAGCGAATTGTATGAGCTTAAATGATATACTGCCTCTGGAGACGGTTTATGAAATAAAATATATAGCATGGAAAATGCAATTGCACTCGACGTAAAAAAGTTTGTTTATTTTTCCCGAGGTTGTTTATCACGTACGTGTCGGGGAACAGGTGCAGCTGAGAAGCATCCGTTGGATTTTAAAATTGTGTTTTAATATTATATTGATATAATATCTAGTCTCGCTTAGTGTGATTAGCGTGAAAAACTAATCGATATTTTAATATTATTAAATATAAGATAATATAAGATATTTAATAACTACACGTCCTGTAAGATTTTAGTAACAGTGTAGTTCATTATTTTCATTTTACTCTTACTGGAATCAAAATAAAAAGCAATAAAAAGAAAAATGTTGATTTGAATCACCGAAATACGACAAACTTCACAGACATCGCGAAGTTGATAACGAAACTAAAATGGCAAGAGACCTGTAAAATAGTTAGTTAGCTATGACGATATGATATCAGATGTACATTGAGGATCCTGGAGAAGGCACTATCAGAGACAAAAATTAGCACACAGTGACCTACCTAAAATAAGATGGATGGGCGATATAAAGAGCAGTAGCAAGCAAATAGTGAATGAGATAAGGCAGATGAAAATGGAAGCAATTGGAATAAATCTGTAGCCATGATAAGATGCATTAACGTTGTCAAAAAATAGATAAAATGGATATAATAATAAAACTATTAACCATAAATTTACAGTATGGTAAATAATATTTTAAGGGATAAAAACATGTGAACACATATAAACACATATCATAAATATATATATATATATATATATATATATATATATATATATTTATTAATATATATATATATATATATATATATATATATATATATATATATATATGTATATATATATTAAGGATCATAAAATTTTTTTGTGTTAAGAAACTTTTTCAAAATTATATTCAAATTTCAGAGAAGTATTTATTAGATTGGAACATTTTTATTTAATATTTTTTGAATATGTTTTTCACCATTTTTATATACGAAACTAATTTTATTTGGTGAGTTAACAAAATTTTTTTCTTTCTAGTTCAACTATGTAAGATATATTGTATTTTTTAGCAGCTATTGATAATAATTGTAAACACAATTGAAAGCTCACGTAAAAAATAGTAACAAATAGCCCCTTTTAGTGACTCCAACCCTTCCAAAACAGTTTTATATTTTTGCCAAACGAGTCAAATGTACTTCTTATTTTACTTTTATCTATCTATCTATCATTTGACATAAGAAGGACATAATTTGTATATCAAAGTCATATGATAACAAGTCTAATTAACTGTGGCTTAAGAGTCACAACTTTCGAAATAAAATTAATAGAACCTTTAGTATAAAAATAGTATAAAAATACGCGCTTATCTTTAATAATTGAAATGCTAAAAATCATTATCTATTTTTTTACGAGAACCACCAATTTAAAATCTCTGCTATATATCCTGCTTAGATACATAACAAAAGCAGAGTAACTCAGCTTCGGAAAACAAATCCTGCGGCGTATTAGTCTCTATCGTGAACAATGTTCTTCTGAAATTTATCCCCCTAGGCCTTAGACATAATAAAAAATGGACTAACGAAACGAAAATTTGTGCTGAGGGTACAAAGCGGTGTTCACTGTAAAAAGCAGATCCGGGTGAAGGTACACATGCCTAGGGCAGTTATGTTTTACCGCAGCTGTATAACTTTTTTATAACGCCAAATAAAAGGGAATAATGTGTGAAGACGTTTTCCCTTAGGAATATGTTATTCTGTCGGTGTTTTATACCATGTAACATACTGGATATATCAGGAAAATGTAAGAGATAATTTGTCATTTGTTTCCATTAGTAAATTGTTACTTGTGGAACCAGAATACAAAAAAGTCTGACAT